GGAAATGGGCATGAAACTTGAACACAGCTGAAAAGAAAGTCAACAAAATAAAAATCTTCAGATGGTCTTCTTATAGATTTCTATTTCTGATGTTCTTGAGATCCTTCACTGATGAAAATTCAGATTCAAGAGAGCCATGCCTGTCCATTCATGGTCACACGTGCTAGATGACAGACTTCTCCATCCATTTTTTCTAGATCTTCCAGTTGAAGTTTTTAATAAACAATTTCTAGCCTTCCAACAGAGGGTATTTTGGAGCAATATGCTGAGATGCCAATTGCCGTAGAGAAATAGACGCTGTGCACACCAGTGTGCTATTATTTCCTCAACCACACAGCCACCAACATGCCATCTGTTTTCACCTGTGGACCTGCAGCTGATCCTCGAGGAGGCTACAGGGGAAGGGGGGGGGCGGGGACTCAAGCTACCCTTATGGTAATCACACCCAGGTACAGTCTTCTGGAGTTCCGGGGCAGAATGTGGATGGGCTTCATTATGGTCTGTCTGCACTTTGATTCCTTTCTTTAAAGAAACAGTGGTCATTCCCAGCAATGAGTCCCAAACACAGCTTGAAAACTGTCTTTATGATTAGCTCTGCTCACTTCCACTGGGTCTGCTTTGCATGCTCTTCTTTCTAAATTCTTTTTTCTTTAATTTAAAGCATGTTTGTTGACATATATTCATCATACATAGTGCTGTGTTTCATCAAGACAGTTTTTCTTTCAAATGCATCGTGGACTGTGGTCACATGCACCTCTCGTGTTCTGTCCTTCTGTTCCAGTTCCTTCGTCCCCTCCTTCCTGTTATCCCTCCCCATGTTTAGATAGTAATATAAAGTTATAGGAGTCACAAATAAGTGCAAATGTGCTATTTCTGTGTCAGAGTCTGGTTTATTTTTGCTTAATGTGGTGATTGCTGTTGCATTCATCTCTCCGGTAGGCGGCAGGCTTTTATTCATCATTATGGTTGAATAAGACCCCCCCCCCCCACACACAATCATGTTAATAAAAATCCATTTATCTGTAGGTAGACTCCTAGGACTGACTCCCGAGATGATCCCACGACCTCATTGTTATGACCAGTGCAGCAGTGAACACGAATGTGCAGTCTCTGGGATACAGTGACAGCATGCTCCAGGCAGATCCTAGAAACTGTATAGCTGGATCATACAGTACTTCTCAAACTCTAAAGTCGTATATGTCCCAAAGAGAACGGCATCTTTCCAGCCCTCTGATGTTCCTTCCCTTGTAGCTCTGCCTTAGAATCGGGGCAGTCACCCTCTCTGAGGATGCAACTGAAGAGTGGCCAGCAAACACATTCAGGCTCGTTGGGAATCAAGTGCACATTTTTGGTTGGCATCCTCCTCCTCCATCTTCACATCACCATCATCATCTTCACATCATCATCACCATCACCATCATCGATGCCTTCTACCATGAGAGCCTTCTTTTCTCTCTCCTTAGACGATTCTTTTCTTGGTTTCAGTTTTATGTTGTAAACTAAGCTTTGCTAGTATAAGACTAGTGGGTTAAGCAAGAAAAACTACCCATGGGTGACAGGAATTAGCAGAGATAGACAGGTGTGCTAGGGTCGGATGGGATGAACATAGGCAGCTGTGGGCCTTGATTCTGGTGAAGGGTGTGTTGTAGGAGGCCACTTGTTTGTTTCCCGCTGCCCAGTCTCAAAATTACCACTCAGAAACTATGTTATTTAAATCACTGCTTGGCCAATCACTTAAGCATATTGCTAGCTAGCTCTTATATCTTTGGTTAACCCATTTCTGTTAACCTGTGTATAGCCACGTGGCTGTGGCTTACCGGGTGGCGGCTACATGACATCTCTTTGACTCTACCTACTCTCTCTCTATATATATATATCTTTTCCAGCCTGGCTTTATTCTGTTAAGCCATTGGCCAAAAGTGGCTTCTTTTTTCATTAGCCAATAAAAGCAACACATATACAAAAGGACTTCCCACAGCAGGAGTGGAGATGGCTTCTCAGAAGAGATGTGTTTGGAAAAGAAATGACTTAACTTTGCCCGAGGTAAGAGATGGCATTCCTGGAAAAGGGAAAGGGGGTTCACCAAGGCCTGTAGATGACAACAGTACATTTGTCTGAGATCCCATTAGCATGGCAGACAAGGGGACTCTGTCATAGAGGGATGCTGCTCCTGGGAAGCAGGGTTGCAGGCTCAACTTTTAAGTTTTCTGGTAGAGCACAGCTCAGTACTTCCAGTCACTGGAATCTTAAGTGCCTGTATCAGACTGACCTAGACTCCTGTAGTTGTGTGACCCGCAGAGCTCAGCTCTTGGCAGGCAGAAGCAGCCCCGCTGGAGTCTATGAGGATTCAGGAGGAACTGCAGCAGCCTGGGAAGGAGCAGGAAAAGTCTTCTCCATGTCTAAGCGCTTTCTTCAAAGCTAGCCTTTCCTGGAAAGCGTTTCAAATACCATGATATAAAATTATTCTGATCTTATGCCCTAGATCTTAGAGATGATGAGGGCAGAAAAACAAATACAGAAAAGGAAGCTAACTGCCTTGTGTTATCCCTTTGTATAGTTCTCAGGAGTTTACGATGCCCAATAATCGCTTAAAGTTTACATTCTTACTGTCTTTTTTAAATTGGTTTTTAATTTTTAATTTTATATGTATGTTTTTATATGAAGGTGATTTTATATGAACGCTTTAATTTTATATGAATGTTTTGCCTACACGTATGTCTGTGCGCCACATTTGTGTAGCACGTGCAGAAGCCAGAAGAGAAGAGGGTGTTGGATTCTCTGGAACTGTAGTTACATATGGTTGTGAGCTGCCAAATGGGTGCTGGGAATTGAACCAGAGTCCTCTAGGTGAGCAGCCAATGATCTGAACTTCTGAGCCAGCTCTTCAGCCCCTTAATGTCTTTTTCTAAGTGTGAAAATCATCCAAGAAACAACTGAATGTTAGAGTTGGGTGAGTCCTTTGAATGGATTCTAGTCCATTGCTCTGTTTACAGTTAAGAAAAGTGCAATCTAAATACGATGGGAGGGGTCACAAATAACTCTATCAGATAATTAGAGTTACCTGTGGTAGGTAATCTGCCAGCCTGTTTTGACTCAGAGCAACTAACCTTTCTGCTATATGTAGTATAGGCTCTCAAAAATGCAGGTGTGTAGTCTCGCCATACCATTTGTATTTTACTGGTTATATATTTGTGCCTTGTCTTTTCAGATGAGTGTATTTTGAGGGTTCTCGCCTGTTTGTTATTCTTATGCAGAATTGCACGAATAATAGGAAGAGAGTTTAAGGAATATGTGGCTAATCAGCTCCAACAGTGCATGGCTGCTCTGGAGTGTTCTTATCCACGCGGGGACAGTTATACTATCATTTGGTGATGTGAGTTTTCTTTCTGGTGCTGGATGTTATATGCACAGGAGGCAAGTGAACTGAACTGCACTGAACTGCAGCTCCAGCCCTGAGACAAATAGTGGGACCATCATGACACACGCAGTCTGTCATTCACCAAAGCATCACAAGGTGTTCATTATTCATTGTGACTTAATGTTACTGATTACCTTAGTGGCAACATAATGTCGCCCACGTGGTTAATTTGGCCTATTCCCTATTGTTGACATTCTCATCATTGAGGGTTTTTTTGTTTGTTTGTTTGTTATCTGAAGATAAAAAACCTTTGCCTACAAAACTGTGGGGCTTCTCAGGGGTCACATCCTATGGGAGGATTACAGGTTGGATAAGCAGATGGGAACCCTGAGGGCTTTTGATAGGTACAACCAAGTTCACTAGGGACAGTCTGCCATGATCTGTTTTTGAAGGCTAGTAACTTGAGACTGACTCTTTCAGTTGTTCCAATTAACTTGGAATTCAGATTTTTCTCTGGTTTTAGTATCCATGAGAAACTAAAAATTATGATAGGGACTTCAGTTGGAGGAGCCAAGCAGTGGAGATCTCCCTTGTAAAACAGTCTGTAGCAGCTGAGGAAAAACCCAGCCGTTTTCCTGCAGGGGTCACTGTTGCCGTCAATTTATGCCTGGAAGGAAGCTAAAATACTAGGGTATTTTAAAGCCTGATTAGTCCGCACTTCTTAAACTGTAAAGTAAACAAGACTTTGCAGCCAGATAGCAGTAGCTGCCAAGTTCTTATACAATGACCTCAGTGCCCCACGCCTGCTCCAACTCTTTACAGGGAAAGCATTAGTGTCGGATTCCGTAGGTGTGCGCACGTCGTATGCCGACTTGAAGAGGAGAAAAAGAAGGTGGTTTTTGTTTTGTTTTTCCCTGTGGTCCGTAGGATCTCTTGTTCTGTTCTCGCTTTGCACTTTAAAATCTGCACAGACAAAATCAAGGAGTACAACTTGCTTAACAATCTTATACAATAAAGGAACGTGTCTTTCCCTTTGAGCTGTCGAGGGTGCGCTCAGATTTTACACGCGGCATTCCCGGAGCTGTCCTAAGGCGGCAGCCTGACTGCAGGGTTGAACAGGGAACTGCCAGGTGTTTCGGGAAGGTGCCAACTCTTTTTTACAAAGCATGACTCTTTTCCATCACCAAATGCAAAGCAGTCAGACGTTTTTCCACCCTCACCCCTCCAATCCCCGGCCCCCCATCCGGTGCCAGGAGGTAGGACCGGCTGGGAGGCGTTAACTAGCTTGCCTGCTCTTTTACCCGACCCCAGAGGCGGCTGTGGTTCCTAGCAGAGCCACCCAGCCCATCTACACTAGACAGGCGGGCTGCGAGCTGACCCAGGACTTGGGTCAAGCCCAAGCTGGACTGGGGCGTTCGGGAAGCAGTGTGAGCCGGTCTAGGAACCCCAAGTGTGAGCAGTGGAGAGGCTGGTGGGCAAGGCTCAGCTTCGAATGGGAGGGGAGACCAGAGCCTAGCTGTTAGCACACAGTGTGTGTCCTGGCTGCAGCCGCCTGATTCAGGTCCACTAGTGCGCTGCCTCCGCCCCTGGCACTGAAGCTGGGAGTTGGCGAAACTCCCTCACCTGTCCGAACCCGGATCTGGCCGCGGGAAGGGCCTGGCAGCCAGCGCCTGCTGGTTACAGCAAGTTTGGCAAGTGGCCCTTCCTGCACTAGGGCGCCACTGCCAAGAAGGCAGGTGTGAGGCTGCTCTGCGCCCTAGCCTCTTCGTCTTCGTTTTCCTTTGTTCCCAGACACCATCAGCCTGGAATAGGCTTAGGGGCAGCTCCCGCAGACGCCAGGGCTGTAGGTTCGAGACGCCCCGCCTCCTCCTGCCACTTAGAGCCATCAGTGACGGAAGAACCTTCCAGTCGGCGGCAAAAGTCTCCTGTAACTGCAGAGGTTTTCGGAACTTTGCAAGCAGAGGCAAGCTGGTCCATTGACTGAAAGCCACGCCACTCCTGCTGCTAGCCTGCTACACCCCTCAGACCCGAAGAGACTACTCTCCCAGCGGCACCGACGCCCCAACTTTTGATTCTTGCGGTTTGTGTTGTCTACCGGGGTGCAGAGCTACATTGCCGGAGGCGCGCGTCTTTTGAAGACCGCGCCATTCACACAGCCTAGCTCGCTCTTTTCGCAGGAGTGAAGGGGCTGGGTGCCTGATCCAGGACCGCATAGGAGCTCGGGAGGAACTGCCTTCGAGAAGTTTAAGATCGGAGCTCCGTCGGGGCCTCTTACTCCAAACCATAGTGAGTTCAGGTGTTTCCTCTCTAAACCCTGCGCCTGGAGCAAATAATCCGCGAGGCCCGGCTGTAAGCGCGGGGATCCCTGTCGCCCCGTCGGAGTGACAAACCATGGCCGGCTGCTGCTGTCTGTCTGCGGAGGAGAAAGAGTCGCAGCGCATCAGCGCGGAGATCGAACGGCAGCTTCGCCGCGACAAGAAGGACGCGCGCCGTGAGCTAAAGCTGCTGTTGCTGGGTGAGTGGCTGCGTTTATCCGGCAGGCAGCCCCGATGTTCGCGTCCTGGCTCCTTCCCGTCCCGCCGTGCAAGCCCCGCTGCGCGCTGTCCTTTCCTCCCGTCCCTCTGCGGCTTACAGATGCTGCCGCCTCCGGGCTTAGGCGCCGGTCTTTTTCACCTAGGGCTGGGTCACTTTCGACCCCCGACTCCCAACATCCCAGAGTATGGCTAAGCCTCAGCCTTTGGACTCTTGTCGGTCCCACTGCCCCCCTCCTCCGCCTCACCCCGCACTGATCCTTCGTCCCCCGGGCTCCAGCACCGGCGGTCGGTTGCTGCAGAACCCCAACCTGGATGTTGACAGGTGGTGTAGAACTGCACTGCCCGCAGTTTAGGTTCTGCTTTCCTTGGGTTTGGTGCAGGTGCCCAGGTAAGGTCATGTGGAAAGGCTCTGTCCTCACAGTAAGAACTGACAAAGTTAACTTCAGAAACTGACAAACTTGAGGATAGGAGGTGAGCCATGGAAGTGAAGCCCCTACCGCTAGTCTCTCTCTCTTCTGGCAGCGACAATGCCTTCTGTCGGGGATCTTCCAGAGTCCACAAGGAGAGAGCAGGCTTAACCCTCCCTTGGCCCACCTTGGTTAACTTCGTTGACCAGTGGCTTTTAGAAGGTCTCTGCAGAAGTGTTTCCAAAACAAAAAAATAAGACTTTAAGGGGCGATTCATCCCCCCCCCCCCCCCCCCGCCATCCATCCACTGATGAATACTGGCTTTTTCTTTCACCATCCCTCCCTAAATAGCTGCATGTATTTCAACTTGTTTCCTCCATCCTTCCGGGAGCAAGTCCTCTCTTTTCCTGTGTGTTTAATTATCTGCAAGCAATCAATCACATTTTAAGAACAGAGGAGAAAAAGATTGACCTTAAGAGGCCTTTTCAGTCTGTTCTGCCTTCAGACCCAGGCAAGGGAGCCCTCTATTGGGTAACCCCTAGTCCTGGGTTTAAAGGGTCTCCCTAGTTTTCCTCAGACTTGCAAGTCCACAGAGCTGACTACCCAGATTCCACACGCCAGCCTCTCCTTTGAGGCCTGAGGAAATTCCCTGCAGGAAGGACTCCTAGCTCACTGTCAGGGTCTTAGCCAGTGAGGAGGAGAGACTTGATCCAGCATGAAAGCCCAAAGGGAGACTGTGAGGCTGGGAGGGAGCTTGGGTCGGTGGAAGAGCTTCCTAAGGGGCGCGAATTATGAAGTAAGGGTGGAAGAAAGGGACTCTGTACACTCTCCACCCCCACGGCCAGGGCTACCCATCCAGAACTGGGCTGGGCCTGGGAGCTCTAGCTGAACCCTGCAGGCCGCAACCAAGCTGGGCTTGTCAAGTGGAGTGCTCTGTCGCAGTTTGTAGCTTGATTAATACTAAGGTAATTAATTATGCCTCCCTTCGACTTTAGATGCATAGTTTTTCTTGTCAAGGGCAGACTAAACTCTAATTCATTTTGAAATATGTAGATTCGTATCAATGTTTGAAGTATTGTACGGCCTATACCAAGAGCTGGACATATGCTGGCTCCTTGTAAGGCAGATTATGCAGTAAGCTGAGCCATAATGTGTTGGTAATAGACCTGTTTGACACACTTAGACACACAAAGTAGAAAAGGAACACTCAAGGGTACGCCATTTGCCTTAAAATGTAATCCAGGCAACAAACCCCTCAGGCTGTCCTAGCCCTGGCTCCACTTGTCCTGACCCTTTGAAGTACTCTGTGCTCCCTTCTCCCAGATGGGACTGTAAATTATTATGGTGACAATTTTCCCATTCAAGGTACAGTTTCAAATCCCATGGAGCTACCAGAACCTTAAGGGTGGGCTTACATGCTCAAATTCTTTCTATCTTTAGAGGATTAAAGCACAGACCAATTCTCAAGCTAAATGGATTGCCTGTGACTCAAAAGTTTCAGCAGTCAGGGAAGGGTATGTGCTACTCTATCTGAAATCACAGAGTGGAAATTTCACCAGAGTTTCTAGAGTGGCTGGATCAGATCCTTCACTGATCACGTGTCTCAGGTATAAAAGCTCCACTTCACACACGGGACTTTGGGATCCTGCGTGGAGTTATGTTTCCAGAAGTCATGGGCTCTCACAGTGATGAGAGTGTCTGCAGCCAGGGCAAGGGTGTTTCTGAAGTGGACACAGAGTAGCAGAGTCCTGACGGTGCTTAGCAAAAGCCTAGGTCACTCCCCAATACTGAGGGACCCAAGATGCTGTCTGGTTACAGCTAGCGGTTGCAAGATGTTGGCAGAATCTTTTCTCAGCAGGAGGAGATGAAGAAAATAAAGGATACAGTTAAACTAAGTAGAAAGAAAGGTCTTCTAATTGGATAAAATTGGACCAAAACAAACAGGTATAATAACACTGGTGGAAAAGTGAAGGCAATACGTGTCCTGTACACCCGTGGGAAGTGGAGTTTGGACTTGTGCCTCTGAGTCATGCGCCTGGGAGCTTAATATTCCACAGGCCCCTGTGGCTGGAATGGGAAAGGAATGGGCATTCCTCCATACTAACATCCTTGTCAGATCACAGACAAAACCTCCCAGTTCCTTGATGCAGAGGCTGGGGCTGAACCAAAGGCATATGGCGTTCTTAAAGACAGATGCAGAGCCAAAGGCCATTTTGCCTAACTAGAAACTGAGACTTCCGTGAGATCTGTGGCCGCAGACAGGATGCCCAGGTCAGCAGAGCTCAGGGTACTCAACCCAGAGATAGCAGCAGCAGCTCCTTGAGAAAGAAAGGACCCCCGGCACAGCTAGCTCCCTCTGACCCACCAGCTGCCGCGGAAAGCGGCCCCTAGCTCTGACCGGGGCAGGACATGCTGAGAGCGCCGGGGATGCCCTGGTGGGTAGAGGTGCCAGCAGCCTTGAATTCCTGTCTTAAGGTTGGGTGGCACCTTGGCTAGTCTTGAGGCTTTAAACCTAGGGGAAGAGGAGAACCACTGGAGGGAACAAAGTGCTTTATGGACTGTGGCCCTTGTGGCCCGATACCCTTCGGTGACTTCACTTCCCAATCAGAACCATGATAGGCTTTCTACTTAGCTGCGCGATGAGCCCATGCCCCTCTGAACTGGGCAGAGTTGGGTGGGCTGCTGATGTAGGGATCCTCAGAGTGAAACTTGGGCGCCGTCAAAGGGCTTCACTCTTGAGACGTCGGCACCTTTCCTACCTCTGGTAGGGATCCTGGTCCCGGCAGGACACTCAGGCCTGGTCTAGCTTCTTCATAGGCCATTACGTCATTGGTGCTTCAGCAGCCCTGTGAGGACTGTCCCGAGCTGGGAGCCCACTCTGATGTCCTGGGTCACCAAGGATACCGAGGAGCCTGAAAGGCCTCTCTCTATTTGTCCCATTTCCTTTACCTCCACATCTGCCTTCAGCTAGGATGCACTGTCTTGCTGCTCTGGCTTGCTCTAAACGAGGGCTGTTACCCCCATATGCTCACTCCTGTGGTCCTGTGAAATGGTCCTATCTGGAGACAGATCAGGTCTGGCCCAGTAGCTTCCTGGTGGAATGGCTGTGAAAATGTGAAGAACAAGGCCTCATTGCTCCCTCCCACCGACCCGTAGTCCACCCTACATCCTGGAGGGGTATCTGTGACTATTCAGCATCCAGAGTGGTCCCCAACTTCCTACAGGGGGAGCCACATGTTCAGGCTCCATCCTCATAGGCCACTCTTGGAGAGGGGGCTGGTGGCAGTGGCAGAAGCATGGCCTAGGCAGAGAAGATGAAGTCAACAGACTGTGGATCTTGGTGCACTGGGTGAATGGATGTGGGTAACTGAACACGGAGGCCTGGCCACAGATCCCAAGTCCCTTTTATCAGAGACCGTCTTGGCTGGTTACCGAGTAGACATGTTTTCTCCTAGAGTAGAAGTTTCCTGTGTAGAGAGGGTGGATACAAAAGCTTGTCAGTGCAACATAGCCTAGCATGCCCTGGGGGTAGCTTACAGGGCTTCTCATTGATGTGTTCTTCTGAGTGCCAAGGTTTCTGGGGTTTATCTTTGGGTAACTACAGTCTGCCAATGGTCTGTGGCCACCTTCTCATGATGCTTCTCCCAGGGAACCGAGGGATTCTCTTCAGGTTCCCCCTTTGGAGAAGAGCCCACAGGCCAGCCTCGGGCTTGCTGAGAGCTGGGACTGAAGCCTAGGGCCACAGGGCAGCTGCAACATTCCAGGTTCAGCAAAGGACACGTAAGCGTTTCTGGGACTTCTGTGCAATCACTGCAGGAACGTGCCCTGAGCCTGAATATCTATGCAAGGGCAGAGCAGCACTCAACCACCAGCTGCTCCCTGCAGTCTCCAAGACCCATTTCTGGCTGGGCACTACTGATCCAGGAGAAATCAGGGTTCCCCTCTTTAAAAATGGACTCAAAGCCATGTGGTGGTGTTACACACCTTTAATTCCAGCACTTTGGAGGTAGAGACAGACAGATCTCTGAGTTCAAGGTCAGCCTTGTCAGGACAGCCAGGTGTACAAAAAAACCCTGTCTTGGGGTGGGGGCTCAAACTAGCTCAAGGATGATTTTATTAGTTTAAAAAAGGAGAGGAGGAGAGGGGAAGGAGAGGAGGAGAAGTGGGAGGAGAGAAAAGGGAAAACCAGGGAGGACAAAATGTAAAAGCTCAGCAACTTCCTGGAGAGGGAGAGGGGAGGAAAGGAGGAGAAACAGACAGTTCTGTTTCAGCTGGAGGTCAGACACGCTGACAGACAAGTGGCCGTGGTGGGAAGGGGAGGCTCTAGAGTAGTGTCACGAGCTCCTGATGCTGCGACCCTTTAATAAGTTCCTCGTATTGTGGAGACCCCCAGCCATACAATATTCTTTGTTTCTGCTTCATAACTATAATTTTGCTACTATTATGAATGGTTATGTAAATATCTGTCACCCCTGTGAAGGGCTGTTTGACCTCCAAAGGGATTGCGACCTACAGATGGAGAACTGCTGCTCTGGGGATACTAAGGAGGCCCACAGTATTGAGAAAAAAGCTTC